ACGAGTCACCCATTGATTTGCCTTATGTGGGACCTGGAACTCACGAAGGCAAAAATATCTTTGGTGTGACCGTAGAGTTTACCCCGGCCACCACTGCAGCGAATTTTAAGCTGCATTACATTGAGGTTGCATTTGAGAAAAAGGAGGGCATATTTGAATATGTGTGTGTTGATGTGGGGAGTATGGAAATTTTCTGGCTGTGCGAGTCTCTGGGTGCGGGATTCGAGAGTACTGAGTGGCGCTTCAAATTTCAAATGGAGCGTCTAGTCAGTATTCTTCATGTCCCTTGGTCGGATCCCGAAGACGACATGCGGATGTGGCCGTAAACCCTTCCTCTGCTCTCCTATCCGTACTCTTGTCAACATTCCGTTTTTATTTTCTTTTTTCTTTTTTTTATATGTTACTTTATCTATTATTTATCAAGTCCTCTTTACCTTCTTACCCTCTTATTATTTGTCACGTCCTTCCTCCTTCTCAAGCAGGTCAGTTTTTAATGGGGTCTCAAACTTATTTAGTTGAACAGTGGGAAAGTTTGGAAGGGATTAAATTTAACCACCGCGCGAAAATAAATACCAAAGTATTTTGTCTGTCGGGTGTCCTAAGAGAGGGGTCTTTTTAATTCGGGCAGTGTACTTTGGGGTCTTTAAAAAAGATGGGTCCTTTTGGACCCTACTTTTGGTAGGACCCCAAAGACCCCTACCGTCGAAAAGACCCCCCCCCCTAAGGACACACGGCGGATTACAATACTACTTACGTTACAGGTATATGTATATGGAATCCACTGAAATTTTGTTTGTGTCTGTCTCTGGAATCCAGGAACATACAGACACAAAATTGTGCTCCTATCTAGTGCACAGTTTGGCCTCGTAATGGACAAGTAAATATAGTCACAGCTTGAGACAGTTGCAATTTCCTCTAAATCTGCATCAGGGTTGTCAAAAACTGTTAATCATACATTTTTTAAGCTATCGTCCACAGAATTCATACGGCTGGTAAACTGAATGAAAATTCTACGACTAGCATTTGCTCTAATTCATGTGTTTTTCCAGCATTTCTGACCATACAGTGAACATAACCAACTATTGTTTTAAACATCAGTATTTAGCCTAGGACAAGACATCCAAAACGATTTAATCAAGTTACGATTGAAAAATCTCATATAAGCTTTGTTCTAAATCAATTTATCTTACGCAGAATTACAGTACAAAATTGATATTTTTGAACTATGACTGGAAAAATTCAGTATGAGAAATGCAGTGCAGGAAAATCAAGGCCTTTTTAAGATTATCCGATCATATAAAATCTCGCTTAAAATAGCTTTCGAAAAAATTGCCAATTAGGAAATTGCATGAATAGCCAATTTGATAAAAAAAGTCAACTTTTTAAACATGGCTCTTTAATTCTCCAAAAGCAGCGTGAATAATACATTTTTCAAAAACTCTATAAAACAAAAATAAAGTATGACCATTTTGAATTTTGCTTATAAAGAGTTCCAGTCGTATAGATTACTCTTCAATTTAAATTATTTCGAACTTGAATTGTGATTTTCTATTTTAAAAATACATAAAAATGACTTTTTTGTGAATAAATTTTGATATTGAATTAGTTAGATTTTAGTATTAATTCAGATTTTTATAAGGTTTTCGTTTTGATAGTAATTTGATGCCTCCCATTAGTACTTCTTTTTATACAATTTGTCGTGAAAAAACTGTCAGTAAATGTTGCCAAAAATGTAATCTCAATAATAATGTTGTTCTCAATGTTGTAATGGATGTTTTGATGGATGCTTTTCATGAGCAACTGGAACAACTTTGTAGGTTTGAAAAAGAATTGGGCTGAAACTTTTGGAAACTGCAAGATAAGCGTTCGAGTTCGACAAAGGCTCGAATAAATCAAATTCACCAGGAAAACAAGTGAGCAAAAGTGGCACAGAAAGATCCTAATACATTGATAGTCGTTGATATTTTATTTGCAAAATTTTTTGAATAAAACCAGATAATGTACAAAAACAGTAAGAATAAACAGTAAGAAAAAAATGTACAAAAACAGTGGTAAAAATTCAAACTTGTCTTCTGCTACACTGAGAAAATGTTTTTGGAAAAACAAAATCGTTCAAAATGTTTTCTACACATGCAGTCATTGTTTTTGGTTTTTGAAAGAAAAAGAACAATCAACACACACCTGAAAGGGCATCAATGTGATATATTGCTTACTTTTAGTGTCTAAATCCTTATTCGCCAATTTCTCTATAATCTGAGTTCTTTTCTGTAGAAGAACCGAACGTTGAAGAAACACCTAATGTACAAAAATAACAAAATTGAGAGTGATAACCTTTTCAGAAGGCTCCCGATTTGCATATACACTTTTTTCTACTCTGACTGATGTCAATTAACAATTGCGTGCAACTAAGTAGAAAACACCCGGAAATTTTCATTTCTGCACTTGTAGAATAAAAATCATTATAATCATCATAATGGTAGCATTGATAGTTGATGATAAAAATCATTATAAAAAGAAACATTTGAATGCAAAAAACTTCACAAAATGTGATGTACCCTACTTCATAGTCGGGATCTGACGGGTTTGTATCAGGGGCTGTATTTCTTCCCTCAAATTATGTCTGCTCATATTCTCTGATCTTATAAGGCGTCTTCTATGATTTTTGAAAAATATAAGCTAAATTTGAAATGATAAAAACCTAAAAACGCAAATCTATGTTGAAGTGCAATCAGGGATTTTGTAAAATTCGCAATTCTTGCCTCCAAGTCTGACTGCGCATTTTTCACAAGTCCAAGACTTGATATTTGACGTTTTCTATAACTTTTCGAAAAGTTTTCAAAAATTTTTACTTAGAAAAATTAGAAGTTAAGAACTCTATGATAGAATCTTTTAAATTACAACGAGTAGTTTAAAATCTTATTAATAAATATGTCTGCTCAAAAACTTTTAGCATCCAAGATTTGGCTTTTATCTTGATTTTTTGAAATTTTTCGAAAATTGAGAACTAAAAAAGTCACAAAATGTTATATAGCAACCCTGTGGTGGGGTGCTGTCAGGATTTTGTCAAAATATGCAAAGCTGTTCCTCAGATATGACTGCGCAAACGCTTTTAATGTCCGAGATATTAAATTTTTTGTTTTTTTTTGAATTTTTTTGGTATTAGCAACCTTAAGGTGGAAACTCTCAGAGTACTTTCAAAAATTAAAATTTTCACCTCCAAATTTGTCTGCCTAAATCAATTCAGCTTCTGAGATTTGAAGTTTCTTTTGACCTTTTGATATATTTCCAAAATTTTTGAAGTTGAAAAACTCCTCAAAACTTGAAATAAGCAACACTAAGTTCGGGTGCTGTCAGGGTACTTTCAAGATTGCAAACTTTGTCTCCCACCATTTCTGCTGAGAATTATGTAGCTTCTATGATATGTCGTTTTTCTTTAACGAAGACTTGAAAAAATTTCACAGGATTTGAATTTAGCAACCCTATGGTCGGGTGGTGTAAGATTTCTTCCAAGGTTTGTAAAATTGGCCTGCAAAATGTGAACAACCAAAATTTTTATTTGTTGAAATTTAATTTTAAAACTAACTTAGATTTCAAAAATTTATCGAAGTGTGTCAATCCGATTTTAGTTTTTTTCAAACTTTTGGATTGCAAAAATTTAATAAAACTTCACAATTCCAACTCTACAGTGTGTTGCTGTCAGAGGTTAAATTTCTTTTCTTCAATTCTGGCTGTTTTCTCTTTTCAAATTGAAGTTTTCACAAAAATTAGGTTTTAAAAAATTGATTAAAGGGTGAAGTTCCTAATCTAAAGTGAGGTGCGATCATGGTGCTAAATGTTTATTTTAAAGGCAATGCCGATTGCAATACGAAATTTTAACCATCGATTCATCATAAAGAATTCTAATTTTTTAAAAATCATCGCTTGAATGGTCTTATTTTAAAACAAAAACATACTTTTGCCATCATTTTAGTTTGCGAAAAATTCAAAATATTCATAATTTGAATAAACCACTGAGAGAAACTTGATTTGTTCTGAACCTGCTTACCGTATAAAAATATTCTAAATTTCATAATGTTTTTTTTGCTTCAAAAAAGTTCTTACAGACCTGTTCAGGTACAAGTATCATAGTTGGGACCCTTAAGATTAAATGGATCCCTGAAGATTGTTGTTGGGCCTTAAAGTCTTCGAAAAAATGTTTCGCAAATTTTTGAAAGCCATTTTTCATGATCGGTTTTTCATGGGATCCAATTTCCACTTGTACCCAGGTTTAAGCTAAAAAACGTATGAACTTTTCAAAGAACCATTGCTTTCTTCAGGCTGATTTTGTAATGAACACATAATTGCTAATAGTATCATGATTGTTAATAGTACACAATAAACAGACTAAGAACCATAATAATAATAACTACTATAAAAATATAATCATATCAAAAATCATATAAATAAAATAACCATAATGATGAAGTTCATAAAACTAATCAAATCCATAATCATAATAATAATCTTAAATTATAATTATTTTGATTTCTGCGCTTGCTAGAGGATCTGTGAAAAGTTGCCCAGGCTGTCTAAGCCTAGTCTTTTCTATTATTATGGTATATATTTTTTTAAATTTTTTAAAGGCCACTTGCGCATGAAATCATCAGCTGATATAATACTATAGGTGGTAATTTTAATTATAGTGCATTTATGAAAATTGAGAACTGTAATGCATAAAATAGTCATTTCATTTCAATCATTTGTGCATGCTGCTAAGATAGTTTTTGTATATACAGTGTTCTATCAGATGAAATATTTTCCAAAAAATCAAACTTTGAAATTTGGCCTTTGAAATTAATTATAAAAATTGAACAAAGTATAACAAAAAGCAATTCATAGCTTAATAACTTTAAATTACCACCTATTGTTATATATCACCCATCATCAATCATAAAGTATTTTTGTTTGAAAGGTCACTGCGTCAATCATGCATGAGATCTAATTGTATTTCAAGATCACAGCACATGATATCATCAGTGAGTTGAACCAGAAGGAGGACCAGTTCGAGTGGAATGGGGAGAAGTTCATAGTGAAGCCGATGGAATTGAGCAGAGTGATTCTGTCTGACTTGAGTGTGGAGACTGAGATTGTGAGCAAGAATGTACAGCTCGAACCATACCAACAAGTGGACCAAATCAAGGCTAGTTAAAGTTAAAAATGACCGAAGCAGGTGTTTTTGTCTGTTATCCATATTCATGCTCAGATGAAAAAATTCTACCTTGATTTTGAAAACTGCAAATTGTATCAAAGGATTCTTTTTGCCGACTTTTCGAATGAAGTTTTTTTTGCTATAGATTTTTCTATACTTCAGTTTGCAAGCTAGTTTTGGTGTTTGAAGATTACTCTTGTTGGGTAATTTTTATGCTTGCGTCTTTTTCCCGTAACAGTAACGTGGGCTTTATTTAGCCACAAAAAGTTTCAAGTTGCTAGCTCAAACCATGTTCTAATGACTCGTGGATATAAAACTTTTGGCGTCATCAGTTTTTCGAAGTCTAATTGTTATTATGTTCTCTTATATTTTCGCTGCTAAGTTATTTAAAAAGAAAGTAAATAAAAAAAATAGTTTTTCTTATTTTAGCTGCTCAACTCTAGTGAAAACCTTTCAAAACCAAGCAGTGATTTTGCTTTTTGGGATCTGCGATTTTATGCAAGAAACGGAGCTTAAGAAAATTGCAAGCATGAACCATTTGAAAAAGTTATCAAATTGTAGACCAAAACATATGCTGAAAAACTAAGAGCTCCATCTAATTTTTAACTGGAACCTCTTCAGGTATCCCTGGGCGAACTGAAAACCAAACCAGAGAATGATGAACCCGAATATCCTGAGCCAGACAATGAGAATACGCACTTGTTGATGGAGAAAGCGAAGGTAAACGAGCAGGAGATCCAGAAACTGAAGATTCAAGCCAGTCAAGTCAAGAAGAAGTGGCCGAAGGGGGACTATTGTATTTGGGCGGGAAAAGACAATTGGTGTCCGACTGCATTTCATCATTTAAGACGTGAGATGACGTGGGTATTGAAGTACGCTGACTTTAATATTAGCCATGGCTACTATCAAGAAATTGGGAGCACACACATTGGGTATGTTACTATTGGAATTCCCTTCTGCAAAAATGGAATAAAAAGCAAAAAATTTAAACCGTTTTTTTTATATGCCACAAAAGCTTATAAAAAGTGTTTAGTCCTACAAAACTCTTAATTGAATGATCATTGTAAGGGTTATTATGATTTATTAACGCCCTTGTCGAGGTCCGCGACTAATTTTTGACTTTGTCGGTCGCAATGGTCAAAAACCTATTACGGGCGGTCAAAAAATTAGTCGCAGCGGTCGAAAAAATAGTCGCGCTGGTCGAAAAATAAGTCGCGGTGGTAGAAAAATAAGTCGCGGTGGTAGAAAAATTAGTCGCGGCGGTCGAAAAAATAGTGCGAATAAATTTTAGACCGCCGCGAACAATTTTTCGACCACCGCAACTAATTTTTCAACCATTGCGACTAACTTTCCTTCAGTCGCGCCGGTCGCGGACACATTGCCTTGGTCCGCAAAGTCTAGAAACACCAAATTTTGATCGCTGCGGTCTGAAAATATCCAATTGCGGTCGCGCAGTCTGGAAATACCAAATTTTGGTTACAACCGTCCGATCATAAAACCACAACCTCGAACTGGGCACTCTCCACCTGACCTCTTTTCCTGGCAGAATATTTGATGTGGAAGAAAAAAAGAAGCTGAAACGCACCCGAATAAAAAGACGGCTCTCTTTTTTCAGATCTTCAAAAACATTAAAATGATGTCAGTCAAATGGGCATGCCTAAAGAAACAATTAACAAGATGACCGCATAAAACAATTAATTTTTTTTAAGGAAACGTATCTCCTGTAAGTGCTGAAAAAAATAAATCAACTTCTTTAAACGAGCGCTGTGTTGGCAGTTTCTAAAAACAATACTAATTCACACACGATATCTCAAAATTTCTAAACTCACAAGTCCAGATATAAAAAACGTTTTTCTAAACGTTTTTGAACAATTCAATATATCATAACTTGTTGTGAAAAATTGACACTGAATAGAAAAAAAGTTTTATCAACTATGGCGAATAAAGACTAAATTATATAGTAAAAACTAGTATAAAAAAGTATAATCATCTTAAGTAAAAAATGAAACTAGACTTAATTAGTTCAACAAGTTCCAGAACCTAAGATTACAGTGTTTTCTTAGAAAATTTTAGTAAAGATTAACCCAAAAAGATTACGCAAAATGACTATATTAAAAAAACGAATGGATAAACTAATTAGAAAGCGTAACAAACTTATATAATTAGAAATCAAAAGTTTCCTGAATGTTTTCAAAAAATATATATCACGATGAGGTTGTTTTATAGATCAGGCTTGCCTGCACCCGAGCTCTATGGATAATAATCGAGTATATTGAATTTTCGTGGTCTGTTTTAATAAATTTCGATAATAATCGATTATAATCGATTAAAAATGGATTATAAAGAAACTATTTTTCTAATCAACAAAATCCGAATATAATTGGTTAGTGGGAGGAGGGGTTAATTTGAGTAGGTTTAGGTTGCGAGTAGGCCGTGAGCAACGCAGGAATGTTGCAAGTTTTGCAACTGATTTTGCAAAAAAAGGTATAGATTATAATCCGTAATAATCATTTACAATGGATTTTAAATGGATTATAATCCATTATAATGGATTTTAAATGGATTATAATCCTAAATAATGGATTTTAATGGATTGTGTTTTTACGAAAATAATCGATTATAATGACAATATAATATTACGTGGTCTAAATTTGCCACAATAAAGGATTATAATGACAACATTTAAGGCATTATTTTTCCGTTATAATCAATCATTATCCATGAAATTCCGGTGCGGGTGGCTTACAAATGACAAATTGAATATCCAAAAAAGCAGATGTTAATTTTTTATAAAGCTCACGTTTAAAAAAAGTTCAGTTATATGTTTGGGTTGTTCCCATGATAGCCCATCCAGTAAGCTATAGCCCCTCCAGTGATTAACTCTGTGATTAAAACAATTAAAACACTGAAGCATACATAGTGATAAGTAGCATGAGCATTTTTATTAATTTTTTGCATAACTAGTATTTCTATACAGCGCTAAGTTTACCACTAAAAAGCATGAGAAATTTGGTAACAAGTTCGAAAACTTTTACGTAGGTTGTTTTCAACATTCAAAAATCTCTATTTACTTTGAAAGTATGATTTTCGTCTGTTTTTAATTATCCCACTCTCTAAGGATGTGATTGGATTGTTTTTGTATACCTCATCCCAGGTCAACACGTGATGAATTGAAAGGCTTTTCAGTGATCCGTCAGACACCTTCAGGGGCGAGTTTATAGTTAGGGGTGGACCTACTCCAACTCAGAGATGCAACCCCCAACCAACCAAAGCCCAATTCAGTACTATTTTACGACTTTCAATTTTGGTTGACCGACCCTAGAAAAATTTTATGGGCGCCTTTTGCGCTATAATTAACTAACTATGAGGAGAGCACGCGCCAAAAGGCGCAATTTCGGGACCAAAACCTTTCCAAATTGGCCCAAAAATGGCTTTTTTGCCTGTTTTTAAAAAGTTGCTTGCGGCGCAGAAAACTTTGTTAAAATAGGACTTTTATGGTGTTCTAAGAGAGCGCGGAAACTCAACTTGCTGACCGAAAAAGGTCGTCCATTTTTTAAAATACGCCCCCGACACTCCCTCGCCCTAACCCCCCCCCCCCCCCCCCCGCAACGGAGTTCCATGGATAATAATCGATTATTTTGAAATTTCGTGGTCTGTCTCAATAAATTTCGATAATAATTCCTTATAATCGATTAAAAATGGATTTTAATGAAACTTTTTTTGCTAATCAATAAAATCCGACTATAATCGATTATAATCGATTATTTTTGAAAGAAAATGAAACTTGTTTTCGAGGCAAAATAATCCATTATAATCAATTATAATTGATTGTAATGGATTTTTTTGAGAGGTTAGTCATGAAATATACAGTTTTTTTCAAAACTAACGCATTTCCTGTTAAGTGCAGTTGCTATGTATTAGGTTTTTAGGCTTCATAAAATGTTGCTTTTCATTTTTCAATCTTCATAATTTGGTCATATATACCCGTTTACCTCTTCCCTGTTTACCCCCTCCCACTCACCCATTTTCCTCCCTGTTTACACCCCCCTCCCGTTTTCCTCCTTTTGTACACCCCCCTTTTACCAACCCTCCACCCACCTCTCTGCTAGCTTACCACAACCGCCATTGGCATTCGCCATTCGCTTACCACAACTTACGACAACCGCCATTCGCAATCCGCATTCGCAAATGCGGACTGATGGGGGGCAAAGTGGGGGGGGGGGGGGGTATTTCGAGTAGGTTTAGATTGCGAGTAGGCCGTGAGTAACGCAGAAATGTTGTCCAAGTTTTGCAAATGATTTTGCAAAAAAGTATAGATTATAATCCGTTATAATCAATTATAATGGATTTTAAACGGAATATAATCCATTATAAGGGATTTAAATGGATTATAATTCATTATAATGGATTTTAATGGATTGTGTTTTTACGAAAATAATCGATTATAATGAGAATATAATCGATATGCGGTCTAAATTTGCCACAATAATGGATTGTAATGACAACATTTTAGACACCATTTTTTCCATTATAATCGATTATTATCGATGGAACTCCGGTGCGGGCCCCCCACTTCGAGAAAACCCCAGATACGCCTCTGGACATCTTAACTGGTTTAGTTTCCGTTTTTGTGTGAAACTAATTCCATTTCAAATTGAAAATAACAAAAAAGAAGAACGTTAAAATTTGCATTTTTTCTATAGGTTTACCGGGTACTACAACTATTTTGTTCTGAGCGGCTGTTGTACTTCTGAGCCCAAAAATATTTTCTATATTACGGCAAGAGATTAACCAGACATCATCTGATCCATGTGACTGGATTGACTGGACAATTACCAAAAGAGGGCAAACAACTACACTTGCAACTATATCTGAAATATTGCTTTATTCGTGAGTCTTTTTTGTTTTACGGTCCAAAAAAGCCCCTTTCTTTTTGTGGAATGTTGATAATAATTTTCATAGTTTTCAAATCTGAAATACTGAAGCGAATTCTTTAGTAATAAGAACTGATGTCTATCATAAAAATCAGAAGTGCAATTATTTAAAAATTGATAGTTTTGGTCCGTATAATACAGGAAAGACTGCAATTGTGAGTAGTGCGTAGACTGTAAATGACTTTTAATAAAAATTTTGATACAAACGATAGTATTTGATTATAATATTGCAACAGTTGTTTGTATTTAAATGTACTATATTACAATTGAAACCTAGCTTTAAAGCAAACTTTCAAGACAAGTTTTTTGTAACAGCCAAAAACCAAAGTTGAAAAGTATTCGAAATGATTTTTTGCATCATAAAAATTTAACACTTCTCGACAAAAACTCAAAAGATGGAATGATTCTAGAGATTTTTGTTGTCGACGTTTTTCAACTATAATTGAAGTTGATCTGAAAAAATTTCAATACACTCATGAGCCAATACTTTTCGAAGGATCCATTATTTTGAATGAAGGTATCGATACATTCAGTTATTTATTTATTTTTTAGCTGACTGCCCTGATATTTTTTATTTGATAAAAAAATTAAATAAAAACTGTGGTTTTTCCTACCAATTTTGGCTGCAATAGTGTACCACGTGAAAACGGCCCTGAGTCGCAAAAAAGAGCTTCGCTCAATAAATTAACACAGTCTGGAATGTGGGGAGATGATACAAACGGACTATACTGACAGGGCTGAAAAGACCTACTGACAGCTCCTCTCCGATTCGAAGGAACCACATAATAATTTTTAGCGATTTGCGAGAGAGCTCAGACAATCAATTTAGTCGACCTAAAACAAAAAAAAAGGTCGACAGAATTTTCGTTTTTTTTTCTTACAAACCCGCTCTCTTCGAGAAAATCGTATGTCTACCCCTGGTCTTGATTACCAGCGGATTTAAAAGGGGTGGCGGGGGTGGGGGCAGACGCCTTCTTTTTTCTGGAGGATTCGACCCTCTGCCTACCCAAAGGGTCTCCTTTGTACTATTTTGAGATATCCATTTTTGGCTTACGGACCCTAAAATTTTTCTAAAGGCGCCAATGGCGCCAAAGCGTACTTCAGTGGTAGCCTAATTTAGCTCTTTTAGATAATACTTTAACATATTTATATTTTTATTACACTTTATTTTGATACCCTGGTCGAGATCCCGCTCAAAAACCGCTGAAGATATGGGAGGTTTGAGCGGTTTTCCAACAAGATTTGAGCGGTTTGAGCGGTTTGGGCAGTTTTTTTTTGGAAAAACCGCTCAAACCGCTCAAATCTTGCTTAAAAAACCGGTCAAAACCCGCTAATTTCTTGCGGTGATTTTTGAACGGTTTTTCAAGCAAAATTTGAGCGGTTTTTAAGCGGTTTTTGAGCGGTCTTATAAAAAAAACCAATTAAAACCAACAAAAAGGCCCGGAAAGGTAAAGTGACTCTAAGATGCAGTTGAAATACTACCCGGGTTGACCTCCATAAATGGAAAATGCTTATCTTACATTTCCCCACACCGAAAATGCTTAACTTACAATTTTCTACATCAAATGTATAGAAAAATGCTATTCATACAATTTTCATACAATTTCAAAAAACCATTGAAAAAAGAAATCAATACAGTTTCTCCGGCTAGTTCAACCAAATAAAACAGTCTGGTAATAAAAAATAACTACGCTTGTTTTTTTTTGGAAAAAAATGGTTAACCTACAATTTCCATATATGAAAATTGTATGATAACCATTTTTTCATGAAAGACAAGATTTTCAGAAACTTGTTAAAACTTGTTTATTAACAAATTTAAATTATTTAAGAGTACTTTTGCTCAATTTAAAGCACATTGGTCATCAAAAACGGAAATTTAGTTTGAAGATAAAAAAATGGTTATCATACAATTTCCATATTTGAAAATTGTATAATAACCATTTTTTCATAGAAGGCAAGATGTTCAGAAACATGTTAAAACTTGTTTTCAATCAAATTTTAAGTAATTAACAGTGCTTTTGCTCAATTTAAAGCACCTTGCTCATCAAAAACGAGGTTTTAAAACCAGGTTTTTTGCTCAGTTTTACACGTCACAAATTGGTTGTTTACGACGAGTCAACTGAGATCTCAAAGGTCGGAGCCACACTGTTCGTCTTTTCCGAAAATGACTCGGGGTAGGAATGGGGTTTTGGTTAGGACTAGGATTTTTTCAGAAGTATGATTTCACCATCTTTGGAAAACAGAATTGAAAAAAAAATTTAGAAAAAACCAAATTTCTAGCCACAACAATTCCCTTTGGATCAAATCTGAATAACTGACGCAATATTCGTCTTTGGGAAAACAAAACAAGTTTGCCCATCCATTTATCAACTGATACTCATGATTTAACACATTTTTTGTGAAAACTTTGGCCGAAAAATCGGTTTCAAAAGTTTTAGAATAAAAAGTTTTTTTTTCTAAGTTTTTTTTTCTTCTTTGAAATGAGATAATCCCGGAGTTCTCATTATTTATTCAAACTTTTCGATGTATTGACCAAAAGCAATGTGAGCGAATTTTTTCAATTGCTCGAGCAAAATAACCACTGGAAAATATGTAAGTATGTGTTTGTATGTATGTATGTATATATGCATGTTTAAATGTAATTATGTTTGTATATATGTAATGTATGTATGTATCTATGTATGTATGTATGTATATATGTATGTATGTATGTATGTGTGTATAGATGTATGTACGTATCTTTGTTTAGATCTATGAGCCTTTTTTCATATATATATTAAGAAGACGCTCAAAAAACCGCTCAAGATTTGAGCGGTTTGAGCGGTTTTTTTAGACAATTACGCTCAAAATCTTGCTTCAAAATGAGCGGTTTGAGCGGTTTTGAACGGTTTATCTAAAAAAACCGCTCAAAAAGCGCGCAAGAGTTGAGCGGTCTATCTAGAAAAACCGCTCGAAAACCGCTGAAATCTTGCGCGGTTTTTGAGTGTTTTTTTTTTAGATAAACCGCTGAAATCTTGCGCGGTTTTTGAGTGGTTTTTTTTAGATAAACCGCTCAAAACCGTTCAAATCTTGCGTGATTTTTGAGCGGTTTTTTTAGATAAACCGTTCAAAAACCGCTCAAACCGCTCATTTTGAAGCACAATTTTGAGCGTAATTGTCTAAAAAAAACCGCTCAAACCGCTCAAATCTTGCTTCAAATTAGGTGAAAAATCTCGACTCGGGT